GTAACACTGTTCATGCATGTATGGGCATACAGCAATGTGACTTGCACCCTGAAACTGCTAGTATTATTGTTTTATCGTTTTCTGGACATAGGACTTGTTGGTACCAAATTCTGCTAGAAGAACCCACCTGAAATTTAGGGCTGTTCTTCCCTCACTGCTGTCTCTTTTTCTCATGTGGAAGATGGGTCTGTCTAAAATGCAGCTTGGGTATTTGCAGATTATAATTCTACCATGTATAGAAAGACTTCTTACATTGTAACCATTTCAAGGGTGGCAGGAAGTGCTGTGCAGGATGACTAAACCTGTGGGAATTGTGCACTGTATTCATAGTTGAATAAAAACAAAGTCAAAGAGGTGCATTTTTCTATATCAGCTTGGCAAAAGCCTGAGAGGGTAAGGAAATCAGTGTGGTTAACGTTGTGGTGAGGTGACATTCTCATGACCTTTGCAGTGCACGGGTAGGCTAGACCAGCCTGGCAGCAGGACTTCGGCTAACAAAAGGCTGAAAAATACATAGATTCCTTGTTTTATCAGTTTTACTGCTCAGAACCCATCTATTGAACATGTCATAGATGTAAAATGGAGTAAAAATCACATATAAAAAACAGGTAGATAACTTTCAACATAAATAGATTATTGAATACTAAGTATTCATTATAATTAAACTGTAGATAAATGTTTGTTGATATAAGAAATTGTTCATGAGATGTTGCTGAGCAAAATATAAAAATAAAAAAACCTTGCATTAGTACCTCATTATGTAAAAATCATTGTACAGAATAAGTTATATCAGAAATAATACATCACCAAAATCCCCGTCAAAGTAGTTTTACTTATCTGGGATGGCAAAATTGCTGGTGGTTGCTCTTCCTTTGTTCTTGCTTTTTGCTTTTTATTTCTCTGTACTTTCCAGATTTACTGGATTTAGCACAGATTAAATACTGTTTTTTAGTATATTGTACGTGATTAAGACTAAAGTATTTGGGCATATAACTGCAAAGTTAGAGGCTTAACACTGCTTATACTTACCCTAAGGCCATCAGGGATTGATTGGGGCAGGTTTCTTGCAGGTTTCCTCTCTCTCTTCTGTGTTCCCTGATATGAGAAGACTGTGATCGGAGGGTGACTGTCTTTTCTTCCAGATATAGTGAGGACCACTTTTTAAATTTTGATTTAAAAAACCATTAATCATGGAAATTATTCAAAGTCATTTGCATTCAGGAATAGAGATTGCCGTAGGTAGCAGTAGCTCTGTATGGTGGAACAAGCCTTGAAGAGTCCACTTCTCTTTCTGTTATTGCTGTAAGGAGAAAGGAGGTAGATAAACAGGCCTAATTATTCACCATACTGTGTGGGTCACACTTGTCAAGTGCCCAGGGAGAAACTTTGATTCAGTGCCTATTAAATCCCATATTTTTTATGACAGGTCACTGTTATACTTTTAAAGAGTTTCATTTTATAAAAATTAGTTTGTAGAGTAGCATTTAGGAGGCAGTACAGGTTATGGGAAATAGGCTGACACATCAAAGGACATTTGAAATAGGAATTAAAAGGCAGAAAGCCTGAGTTCTGGGCCCACTTATGTGACTTAATAACTTTGGACCTTTAAACAATTTCTCTGTCAAAAGTAGGTTGATAATAATACTGACTCAGAGCCTAAATTAACGTGGGCCCAATAAAATTTAAAGAAAACAACAAATAGTAATTTAAAATAGGTAAGACTCCCCTTTTCTTAGCATGAGGTGCTCCTTGTGTATGAGTCCATTCTCATGCTGCTCATAAAGACATACTCAAAACTGAGTAATTTATAGAGAAAAAGAGGTTTAATGGACTCACAGTTCTGTGTGGCTGGGGAAGCCTAGTGATCATAGCAGAAGGTGAAGGAGGAGCAAAGGCATGTCTTACATGGTTGCAGGCAAGAGAGCATTTGCAGGGGAACTGCCCTTCCTAAGACCATCAAGTCTCATGAGAGTTATTCACTGTCATGAGAACAGCACAGGCAAAATCTGCCCCCATGATTTAATTACCTCCCAACCTGGTTCCTCTCACTACAGGTGGGGATTATGGGAGCTACAATTCAAGATGAGATTGGGGGAGCAGTGCATAGCCAAACCATATCATCTTGCGTAGAGTCCCCTGTGAACCCATGGACATTGGTAGAAGTGGTGATACAAGGTCACGGTGGCTCTCTGGGAGATCAGAGGTGACTGCACACAAGAGCTGCATTGTCCTTCCTTCTCACTTTCTGCTCTCTTCTCACATCCCTCAATCCTTTCCTAGATGGAAGTTCATAGATTCCACTTTTTGACCTGGACACATTTGTTGAACTGCTTATTTATATTTTAAGTGATGAAGAGACTTGATCAAGTAAGAAAACCATATGATAAAGCATGTTGAATACATATGCAAATGTCTTTCTTTCATACTGTTGGTATTCATCGCCTTCAGTACTTTAAACTTTTTAGCTATGGTTGCATTTTGCCAAATCATATTTAATCTGACCCTTACTCTTTTCTCAAATTCTACTTTGTTGATATTATTTCCCCAAAACTTCTCAGATATTCTGTTTGTAACAGATTTACTTTTCCAGTGCTATTCCAATCCCCATTGGTGATATAACTTTAATTACCTCATAAAATTCAATTCAAAAATTAGATGGAATGTTCAACAAGAAATTTGGATGACTGCTTTTTTTGTCATATATTTTAAGTAAAATTCTATAATGGGGCCTTTTTAGGTTTGCCTATCTCTAAATTATTAACTAGACATAGCTAAAAACATAGGGCAAAGGCACCTGTGGAAATAAACATCTCTTAATGTAAAACCCAGGATGCTTAGATATGGCATAATAGAAAGTATCTTTTAACATTTACACAACCCTGGTTCCTGGAGGGATATGTAATATAATAGCTTTAGGCAAGAAAATAATTTTTATTTACTCTGAGTCATTTATTGAGATGCAGGTTTTGTAATGCCTTGGTAAATGTCACCCTCAGTTAACTATTGCTTTCTCTGTTGATCATTGCTAGATGATATATATAACAAATACTTCAGACTCCTTTTTAGTTCATTTGAGCTACTATAACAAAATACCATAAATTGGGTCCTTGTAAACAACAGAAATTTATTTCTTGCAATTCTGGAGCTGGGAAGCCCAAGATGAAGTCCTGGCAGATTTAGTGTCTGGTGAGGGCCGACTTTCTGGTTTATAGATGATGCCTTATTGCTATGCCCTCACATACTGGGAGGATTGAGAAGTTTCTCTCAGGCCTCTTTTATAAGGTCTCACCCTATTTATGGGGGCCCCATCCTCTTGATCTCATCCCCTCTTAAAGGTCCCGCCTCCTGCTACCATCACCTTGGGTATTAGTATCTCAGCATATGAATTTGGGAGACATCAACATTCAGAATACAGCAATCTCATTTATTTGTGCAGGAAAGATAGGAACAATTCTGAGAATCTTGTTTTTAACCTGTACATATGCATCCACTTATGCATTGGGTCTAATGTTGTTTGAATTTCTGCTTTCTTTCATAAATGAACTCAGCCAAAATCAACTGTGGCAAATGGCCTTGCCAGTTTTTTCTGCTGTCTGTCACAGACTAGGAACTCAGTAAATATTTGTGGAGTAGATTAGTTATTGACGGTGCTTCATAATACCAACTAAGCTTCTTATGTTAATTCAGGTATCTCTTTAATTATTGGTAAATTATTAATCATGGCTTCTGTATGATTTTCTTACAAAGGGGAATGTCTGATAGATTTTCTTTTGAGTTGGAAATATACTGTTTTAGGAAAAACCCTCTCAAACTTTATTTTTTCTTCTACTCTCACACAACAGCAATCATTAACACAGAAGAAGACTTCTGTGACCAAATGTGTGGGTTTTTCCTCCTCACACACCAAGCAGCAGACACAGCTGGGTGTCCTCTAATTCAGTTCTGGCACTCTCTACTACACTGTCTACTCTCAGATAGTGTCAGAGCCTACAGGTTGAGGGCTCAGTCCCCAAGACTGTCCCATCCCCCCGGACACCAACTGCAAGTCCAGGCCTCAGAACTTCTGACCAACGGGGTTCAAGGTGGGGCCCCCATAGTTCCTGGGTTGGATTCTATTAATTTGCTAGGGCGGCTCAGAGAACTCAGGATGCACTTAGGTTTACAAGTTTATTTCAGAGGATATCACAAAGGATACAGATGAAGATATGTGCAGGGCGAGTTAGGGGGAATGGACACAGAGCTTCCAAGCCCTCCGGATGTGCCACCCTCTCCAGGAGCCTCCACGTGGTCAGCTCTCCAGAAGCTCTACAAACCCAGGCCTCTGGGGTTTTAAGGAGGCTTCCTGACATCAGCATTCTTTTCCCCAGGGTGTGAGGGCTGGACTCTCTGTGGAATGAGGGTCTTATGACCCACAATCAGAAAGGAGGCAGGGAAGATTAGAGTCCTGCCTTGAAGCAGGTAAAAGGAGGTCAGAGGAAGGCCAGATGGATTGTTTTCAGAGGCCTGAGATTCAGATATTGCTTTTCTGAGGCCAGACACACCCAACACCATCACAAGACTATAATAGGGTCTATAAGAGATACGAGCCAGGAACCAAGGAGGAAACATGTAATAACGACACATGTACCAATAGGCAGGTAATACATTTGCCTAAAATAGTCATAAATTTGTAGCTGGACTCACTTCTTAGACTCATTACTTCTTTATTGCTTTACTCTTATACTCTCTCCTTTAATTTCTCATCATTTCTCCATTTATCTCAAAGACAAAGCACAAGGTGTGAATGTGAAGTGGAATTTGGTTGGGGTTGATAAAAGGATAAAACATTCTATTTCTTGACTGTTACTTTGCTTTACGTGTTATTGCTCCCCTTCTATAATTATGTTATGTTCTTTCTCAGCAGCTCATAGTTTGACTTTTTTTTTAGTGTGTATCCTTAAAGCGATCTGATAGTTGTGCCTGTTTAGTGTCAATATCTGATTGTATTGTTCGTGTCCTCTTGCCTTGCAGGAGCTATGCCTGTCCCAGACCAGCCTTCATCAGCCTCAGAGAAGACAAGTTCCCTGAGCCCCGGCTTAAACACCTCCAACGGGGATGGATCTGAAACAGAAACCACCTCTGCCATCCTCGCCTCAGTCAAAGAACAGGTAGAAACATTCCACTTCTGTGACATGTGTTGCCGGATATTTTAATTGTTTTTCTAGATGAACTTTAAAGATTATATTGAAAGAAACTCATAATTTTCTAGCAGAGTATTGGTATTTATTATATAAATAATACTATAATGGGATTAAAATTCCTTTTGACTCGCGTGTTTTAGGCAGCCTTTCTTGAAAAAATATTTTATTGGGGGAAAAAAACAAACAACTTTACAATAAAAATTTCCTGTGGGTGAAGTTTCAGCAGATTCATTGATGGGTCTGACATTTAATGCTATTAAATGTACAAAGTGAAATAATTAGTCTTAGAAAATATAAAATCTAATAAAAAGCTAAAATATGTCCAGGAAGTTAAAAGTTATTATGCATGACAGTAATTGAATATCACATCAAGGTCAAGGCAAATCGTTTTTTCCAGTGTTTTCTGAGATGGATCTGGAAGGATGCAGTCTAAAACTTTTCCTCTCAAACAAATGAGATTCTGAACGATTCTGCCTCCAACATTACTTTGCCAAAAAAAACACAAGTAAATAAAATGTGAACCTTAGATTTAAAATGTCACTTTATTAAAGCCATGTTTCTTGTAAATAAAAAAGTAGTAAATAATCAAAGAAAGCTGGCCGATCAAGATTCTTTCATTTACTGCTTCTTCTAAATATGTGCTAGAAAATATATCAGTTGTTTTTCATATTAACTAAAAAAGCCTGCTGTGTTTGGGTTATGTGATTTGTTGCTGCTGAATTAGCAACTTACCTGACTCCAGAAACATCTCAGCAGAGCAAGAGCCTAAAATGGGAGCAATTAAGAATAGTAACTCTATTCAAAAAGAAGAAGGGCTCTAGAGGAAACTGATTCTGTTTTATGAGTGGAAACTGATTTAGGTAAGAGTGGGAAGCCACCTAAACCGTCATCCCACTGACCAAAAGGATCAATGATGCTATCAGTCAAAAGAGTGCCATCTGGTCAGGAAGTGTGTAGCTAAGTAGGTACTCAAGGGAGAGTTGATAGATTGAATGGAGAGTCTAGTTTGTGAAAATAGGAAGCAGGGGATTGGGTTGAGCTTTAGGCTGTACTCCTTGATTAGCTTGCTTTCCAAAGCTTACTCTTGAGATTGTTTTCTGATTACGTTTAATGGGAAATGGAAAAAGGGACCACAAAGGGTGTTAATACCACTCCCCATCCTCAGGATCCTACATTGTTATAGTGGGGTTATGTCTTGCTTTCTTATTCAGGTGTGATCTGAAAGTCTTGCTAGGCTGCTAATTTCTGAGTAGTAAGAAAATTTAAAGCAGAAAGAATAAATGTAACAAAAAATGACAAGATCTGTCTTCTGAAAATTATTTTATCACAAAGACATAAAGTAATTCATAATGAATGAAAAGGCATGGCATGGCGCTCTGTTGAAAAGCTTAGTATCATCACAATATTACTGTCTCCCAAATTAGGATATAAAATTTAGGTGAGTGTAATCAGAATCCTGTGGCTGGTTGTTTGTTTCTTTGCCAGACTGGATCAAACTATTTTAAAGACCAGTGGAAGTATAAAATATGAGAATGCAAGGAAAGTTTTGTGAGATTTTTATCTTACCAAACATACCAATCACAGCATTACCCAATGGGCTCAAAATAAAGAATGGCCTCTATGAAAAACAGACTCAAATAGATATCTATGCCTATTCACTTAAAATTAGTATTTCAGTTCATTACAAAGTGGCTTAAATGGTGTTGTCCTAACTGATTCAATATCTGGAAGAAAATTAAAACTGTTAACTTACAGCTTAAAGAGAAATAAATCTCACAGGGAAAAAAATGTAACTGTAAAAATAAAACCGTTGACAGGAGAAACTTTGGGGAAAGAGCCTTGTAAATTAAAGGTAGGCAAGGTTTTATTAAGAGAGTAAACCCAAGAAGCCATACATAAATGGTTGATGTGTTTCACAATATGAATACTAACAGTAATAGCAAGACAAAACTCAAAATAGAAAAGAAAAATAGTTCGAGAGAAAATATGTGCCACAAGTATAATGAAGTGTTGATAAAATTAATATATGAAGACCTCCCAGTGTTGGTGAGAAAAAGAGAAATTAAAGAATAGAAAACTAGGCCAAGAAAATAAACAGGAGAAAGATGAAAGCAAGTAATGAATGTTCAGAAATGTCCTCTCTAATGTACCAGTCGGGGACATACAATTTTAACTGAAAATAAGACTTATTTTTAATCTACTAAGTAGACAACTGTTGAAAAGTAGTTTATATTGTATGCTAAATAAGAGTTAAGCTTTGGGGAAATCCACATTCTTTTTCATTCTGAATAGGAATATAAATTGCTGTAATTTTTCTTCTGTGAAATGACTTGTTTCTATGCATCCACATTTAAAATGTTCAATAAACATTTATTTAATGATTTTTATATATATATATATATATATATATTCTGTAAAAATGAGTGACTATATAGATAAAATTTATGTATATGTATATTTATTATAAAATTATTTGAAATAGCCAAAAATATGACTTAGTGAAGAGTTGAAAACATTATATTCTTTCTATAAATATTATATAGTCATTAGTAAAAATGAGTTGGGGCTATATGTCTAACCTTTGGGGAAAAATCCATGAGAATTTTAGAAAGGAAATTATATAGTATGATATTATCCTATTTTTTAAAAATTGTAACATTAGATATGTTTTGGTTTATACATATTTATAAGCATCTAAAAAATATAGAAGGAAACAAATTGAACTATTAACATTGATAAGCATATGTGTTTTACAGTTAGATGGAGGTGGGAACAGACTGAAGACATGGGGGTAGGTAAGAAAACCAAAAATGGAAAATATATTTGGGAGACTGGAATAAATATTAGTTGGGTTTGGATAATAGGAAATATTTATTCACCTCAGAGTGAAGTTTGAACGTTGAGAGTGCACAGACTGTTAAGGCAAAACTGTGTTACTGTAAATAAAGTGACTTCTCAAAATCCTGAATGAGAATTTAACAAAAACTTACTGTATTAGCTCATTCTCATGCTGCAGATAAAGACATGCCAGAGACTGGGGAATTTATAAAGAAAAAGTGGTGTAATGGACTCATGCTTCCACGTAGTTGGGGAGGCCTCACAGCCATGGTAGAAAGCGAAAGACACATCTTACCTGGCCACAGATAAGAGAGAACATGTGCAGGGGAACTCCTCTTTATAAAACTGTCAGATCTCGTGAGACTTATTCACTGTCAGGAAAACAGCATGGGAAAGACCTGCCCCTGTGATTCAGTTACCTCCCACTGGGTCCCTCCCACAACACCTGGGTATTATGGGAGCTACAATTCAAGATGGGATTTGGGTGGGGACAAAGCCAAACCATATTACTTGAAAAGTTTTTTTCTGAGGAATTAAAAAATGTATTGTTCATTTTTGGACAGCAAAGGTGAGTTTATTTGGTGACACGTAAGTGATGTTTGGAGAGATGCAAATGTGTTTTGGAAACTTGAGATAGAGAAGCCCCGGGTGCCCAAGCCAGAGGCTGGGAATTAGGTCCCAGCATCTGGGACATGTGCAGCATCTGCCTAGGTGAAGCCTGAGTCAACAAGCAGCAGATTCCATGAGCTTTTTGGGGATGGTCTGATGCACAAAATTGATCTCTTTCATTGGGGGATTTGTATCCTAATCATTCTTAAAGTTTCCTTCTTTTTTTTCTCAAGTCTTAACTATTATCTGTGGAGTAAAATCTACGTTAAATATATTTCTTTCTTTCTTTCTTTCTTTTTTAATTGTACTTCAGGTTCTGGAGTACATGTGCAGATCATGTAGGATTGTTGCATAGGTACACACATGGCAATGTGATTTGCTACCTCCATCCCCCCATCACGTGCATCTGGCATTTCTCCCAATGTTATCCCTCCCCTACCTCTGGCATTTCTCCCAATGTTATCCCTCTCTGACCTTCCCCACCCTGCTGTCCCTCCCTTGCCCCCCTCCAACAGAACCCGGTGTGTGATGCTCCCCTCCCTGTGTCCATGTGTTCTCATTGTTCATCACCCACCTATGAGTGAGAACATGCGGTGTTTGATTTTCTGTTCTTGTGTCAGTTTGCTGAGAATTATGGTTTCCAGATTCATCCATGTCCCTACAAAAGACACATACTCATCATTTTTTACGGCTGCATCGTATTCCATGGTGTATATGTGCCACATTTTCCTTGTCCAGTCTATCGTCGATGGGCATTTGGGTTGGTTCCAGGTCTTTGCTATTGTAAACAGTGCTGCTATGAACATACATGTGCATGTGTCTTTATAATAGAATGATTTATAATCCTTTGGGTATACACCCAGTAATGGGATTGCTGAGTCAAATGGAATTTCTTTGACTAGGTCCTTGAGGAAGCTGCCACACTGTCTTCCACAATGGCTGAACTAGTTTACGCTCCCACCAACAATGTAAAAGTGTTCCTATATCTCCACATCCTCTCCAGCATCTGTTATCTCCAGATTTTTTAATGATCACCATTCGAACTGGTGTGAAGTAGTATCTCAGTGTGCTTTTGATTTGCATTTCTCTAATGACCAGTGATGAGCATTTTTTCATATGTTTGTTGGCTGCATAGATGTCTTCTCTTGAGAAGCATCTGTCCATATGCTTCACCCCTTAAAAATTTTATCTGAGTTGGTCTTCAAGTAGTTAGCAATGGAGTTAAAATATGAAACAACCGTATGTAAAGAGTTTTAAAATATAAAAAATTATAGATGAAAATGTAAGGAAACTCTTTAGTCAGTGTATTGTCAAACTGCAGGTGATTTTTACAGATTAAAAAAAAATGTGAAATTGTGAGCATTTATGTTTCCAGATACTCTATTGTTATACTATTTTTTATTGTTCTTTTTGTTCTGCAAGCATTATAAACCATATTCTTGATTTTAGAGGAGTTTATGAGTACCATTATTTAGGATATTCGTGATTCTTAGGTAGCAGAACAAACAGTCTCTTCCTTT